TTTTCATGAAAAATAAATTTTCACAAATACTTTTTATAAATACATTAAATTTAATGTAATGTCATAAAATTAAATTCAAATTGTGTAACTTAAAGGTAACAAATTGTTAACTTAAAAGTTAAAATTTAAGAACATTTTTAACATTATATATATATATATATATATACTGGATGGTCCAAACCAGCCGCAAGAGCCGGCATGTACGCATTGTTTATGAAAAACTGAATCGAAAAATCCTTTATAATTTTAGATTACACACACTATGTTCACTCATGACATATATGTAGTTAAAAAACTCTATGTATCCTTTCTTTTCGATCTACTCTTATTTTTTTCAAGTACCTCGACTTTTGGAATAGTGAGGAAGCTGTCAAACTGCTTCTGCAATTCCATGTACTGCATATCGTGAAGATAGGATGTGTTGCTACTGCGGAGAGCTCCCATTTGATTCATAAACAACTCTGTTACCCAAATGACAATCATTGTTATCTGCGTCTTGTCTTGTGTCTTCAAGCCGTCGAGTTTCTTGAAACAAATAATCAGATTCATTTTAGAATAAATAACTATTAATACAATTTTAAATTAAAACAAGAAAATTGAATTTTTTAAATTTGAAACGTTCATGTAAATATAAAAGTAGGAAAAAAATTCAATTGGAATTATATGACAAATAAATTCTAAATTATACATAAAATAATTTTTTTCTATATAGTATTAATTTCTATATAGTATTAATTTGTAATCATTGTAATTAATGCAAATATTCATCAATTTAATCTTATGATTGTTTATTGTGAAACAAATGCTCTTATACTTTACCTTACATAAGAACGTTTTCAGTGCTTCGATTTGCCATTCCTGCAAAAATTTCAATGAAATTTCCTCGAAAGACGAATGAGTGTCAGCGTATATTAGAGCACTCTTTTCGTATCTGCAAAATCATGCAAAATATTACAAGAGAAAACAAACCAAATAAATATTATAATTGTATTAGACCAATATAAATCGAAACAAACGATCATATTTTCGATTAAAATGAATATATAATGAATATTTTTGCATATTTATATGCAAATTTTTGCAAATACAGTTTTCATTTCTATAAATTGTAAGCCGACTTATTAGATTAGAAACGCAATTACAAACTAAAGCTAAAATATTAATATCACAAATTCGACTGATCGTCAATTTAATAACGATGCTACAATAAGCATCTTAAAACCTGCAAAGAACTTGTTACAAAAAATACATCTTAGATAAATAAAAGTAGACGAAATTTGAAAAAAAAAAAAAAAAAAGAATACTTATACATAAACATTTACATACGCAACATTTACAGTACGAGTATACTTACTCTTTATTCTTGAAAAGCATTTCTGCTTGTTTCACGAGCACTTGGTCGATGTGTGCCGGATTATCTTTACAATATTGCTTAGCTAGTTCAAATTCGCCTTTATCGACATATACCTGAGCGAAAGATCATTATTTTGTCACTATTGTTACTTTGAAAATATTAAATTCTTTTTTTTTACCTGCCAAACATTCCTATCTTCCTTCGTTACTTTATATTTGAAAACAGCTCGCTCGCTATAAGCCCAAATCGATCTTGTCGCCGGATCTTTGGTAATGCCAATTAATTTACCGACTGCCTAAACATCATTAAATCACATTTGCGTGATATATTTAACATCTTGCGAAAATTCAATCATTATATGAATTCTTAAAAACTCTAATAAATTAATTGTATTTATATTATTTATAATAATAGACAAAAACAGACCAATGAGAGTATAAATGCAGGTCATAAGGCGCAAAAAGACACTATTATTTATAACTATGCTATACACACGCATTCTCTTTCAACTCTTTATTCTTAGGTGTTCTACTTGATGTTCGCATATATCATTTCATCCTTATTGTCATTAAAGGTTAAACAAGGATGAAATAACGCATGCGACATTGCAAACGCAAGTGGAACAGTGTATTATATTGTAATTATAATTGATCATCTCATAATAATAATAATAATAATAAAGCAAAAGTGCAAAAGAGAAGTATATTTATTAATATATTATTATACGTACATCGTTATAAACATCTTCGAAAATCAATTCCTGATTTAGCAGTGATATGCCCTTCACATGATCTGAATACAACAATAGCGCATGGAATTCCGTCAGCACAAAAGATAACGGTATCGAAGTGGTTTGCGGACCGTTACTACCCATGAGACTCGTTTCCGGGCATGTCAACATCCGTTGGTTTATCAGCACATTGTTTGTGTCCGGTTTCGCGTCCACCTAAAACCGATCATCATGCACTCTTCATCCGGGTCAATGATTTTCAACGCAAGCCATATTAACTCCAGGAGAGGTCACCAACATTTCTAAGTAATCATGCGTAAAAAGAATAACGTATTAGGAAATTATAAGATTTATGAATGAACTATTCAAACTTCCTTTATTTTCGTGATAGCAAAAGAATAAAAATGCATGAAGATAAATGAATATAGAAGCAAAAAAAAGGGGTGTTTAGACTTACATATAGTATTAACATTTAAATCTTTAAAAATAACACCTTATTGTATACCTGAGCGTACAGAATACCAGCTTCCGTCAGCCATCCAAAAGATTTTGGCAGGACGCCCAATGATGGATAATAAAATTGCATCTTTGAATATGATAAAGAATTTATTACTTCGTTGAAGGTCTCTACAATATAATATATATTTATTTATTCAAATGTGCTGTTTTTTAAATTTCTTTATTAAACAATTCTTTCGTTTGAAAAAAATTATATTTTTTATTATTTAATAGAACATTTTTATAGTTTATTTACTCTATTTTATTTATTATTTTTAACTTTTTTTATATTTAAAAAGCTCAATTTTTTGTGTACTTTAAGTGTTTAAAATGATTTATACAAAGTTTCATTGTGATTGTTTATTTAGTTATTCTGTTTTTTCTATTATTTTTCTAATTATTTTTTTTCTACTATTTTCAAATGCAATATAAAATAATCTGTAATTTTCATAATTAAACGTTTTCAAAATATGTTCAATATATCCTTAAGGAATATTGAATTATAATGTGCTAATTGAAAATGCAGAAATTATATATTTATGTATATTTTTCTCTTTACCTTGTGCATTCAAATATCTGTAGAACACTTGTTGTAAGAGAGGCTTCTCTTCAGGATTGCCAATGGCGCCGATGTATTGATAAATGCGCATAAGAGTGGTTACGATGATCACGTATTTATCCGAATTAGGAATTTTGTGGAATTCTATTCCAGTGATTGGAGGCTTGCTATTTTTTCCTATATCAAATACCTAAAATCACATTTGTAAACAAAAACATTTCATATAAAATTCTATTTCAGATAAAATATTTAGATGGTTATCTAAATAATTATTAAAAATATGAATAATTAGAATATATTTTTTTATTTCGACTATGTAAGATTACTTAAATTTCTAACATAAGCATAAATTTCTAATTTTTATGATACAAAAATAACTTTTTTAGCATGCACATTTTTTTAATGATTTGATAATAAATGATAACGCTAATAAAAATATTTTTCTAATTCTAAATTTACATAAAAGAAAGATTATGAGTCAACACTAGTTGGTAGATTGGTGAGCCTCTACCAACTAGCATTGACTCATAGCCTTTCTTTTATGTAAATTTAACTATAAATTAATTGAGTCTATGTAATGTAATTATATTTTTTCTAATTATTTATTTGTAATATCAAAAAATCTGAATTTATCATATTTATAGAATATGTAAATATTTATATAAAAAAAAATATATGAACTTACCAATCCTCCTACCTCTTTTGAACCATAAAGAGGCAGATAATTTGGAAGCTTTGTTAAAAATGAATAGCGCAATGGTGAAAAGGTATTATAGGCGAATAAATAAAATGATGGCCCTAGCAGTACATAAGTAATTAATACCTGACGCCAATACTGCTCTAAACTCGTATTAAAAATCTTGTCGGTCTCTAAGCCAATCTCTGTCTCAAAAATCAGGCCCTTCGCAGTACCCAGTAAAATAGGACCGGTACTCGTTTCCGAAGCATTAGAAAAATTCCAACCCACTGCGGTGATTTCGTGGCCCTTGAACTTTCCAGCCTGCTTGAGTTTTGTTGTCTTTCTATGTAAGTAGAATAATTCTGGAAGTGGATTCTCTCCATGCCTTGGTACCAGAGTTATCAACAAGTGATGACCCAATGGATCCAAAAACAAGCCGGACATTTTCATGCTTAGTGCATATTTGGATATGTCAATTTCTGCAAATAAAAATTTAATATTTATGTTATATTAAATATAAATAGCTCTATATGATGAATTAATTTCAAGTAAATATGGAAAATATGTAATTTGACATATACTTAATATAATAAAACACAAAACTTGTATTTATAGTCTTTTTATTAATTTCTTAATATAATTTGTCAATAAAAAAATAATTCATACATGTATTTATAAGTTAAACAATTTAAAAGGAAAATTTTATTATACACATTATTACAATTATTAATAAAATATAATTGTCTAATCCATCTTTAGTTATTTTTTATCAGTTAAAAAGAAATAAATAAATGTCATATTAGCAAAATATTTGTATTGAGAAAAATTTTATTATTTATACATATAATTACAATAAATGCAAGTGCCTACCTTCAGTTTTATCAGGTTGTTTCATGTCAATGCGCAACAAAATATTGTTAGCCATAGCTATTACAATTGTGTTACTGCTAACAACTAAATGAAGAATTTTGTCCGATGGCAGAAAGTTGACTTTTTGCTTAGTGAATATCGGTCCATCATCTTGTAACTTCATTTGAATAAAACCAGCTGTGCTCTGTAAAACAATATTAAAATTATAGCAACTTGATTATGTATCTCACTAGTTGATGTCAGGCAACAAACGTACAATATCCGGACGAATTGGTGGTGCCAGTACTTGCTTGGAACGCTGAGAAGCTTGTTCGTACTGGTCAAACATTGATGTCATCTTGATCGTAGATCTATGTACATTATGTTAAAATAATACTTTAAAATATTAAAATATAGAACAAACAAGATGTTTCTATTAAATGTTAACATTTATATATATATAATATAACAAATAATATCTAAAATCCAAATTTTTCAAAAATAATATAATCTTATATATATCATAATATCAAATTAATATGAAATAATATAGTACATTCTTTAACAAGAAAAGAATTTTAACACTTTCACTTACTGATTTTGTTTCGAGGTAAATAAGGTATATGGAGAAGGCTGATACAAGCCTAAAAACTCTTGCGTCTAAATAAGTATAATCGACTGTTTTGCGCCATCGTAAAAGTTTTTAAAAAGTGAGATAATTATTTAATTGCGCTACCTCACCTTTAATTTTGATAAAATTAAGCTTATTCACCGCTTTTTCGCACAAAATGCACAAAACAGAGACCGTAAAAAGGCGATAAATTGATTGGCTATCGTGTCGGAGCAAACAATAGGTTTGTTGCTTGAAATCCTAAATGTGCACTTAAAAAGGGATAAATATATATTCAGGCGTTGAAAGGAGAGAGAACGACGATATTAAGTGCAAAAAGTGTAAGCAACGTGAACAGACCGAAGGGCCTAGTTTACATCGTGTACTTGATATGCGTATTAACTTTCTATTCAATTATTTTAATTTCAACAATATATTTTAATTTTAGCAATGTATTTGTTGACAAAAGTCATCACGTGATCTTTTTCATCACTGAAATGGCCAATTTGAGCTCGTGAAAATACAACTTTAAGTGCCATTTCCAAAACATTTTTGGAGATTTGAAGCGAACAGACTATGTTATTCCTTCCACCAGTTCCATCATATTACTATAGTAAAAAATTATACTATAGTAAAAATTGTACATACAGCGATGATTCGTGCTTATTATGTGTATATTTAGGAAAATTACATCAAATAATAACATTTTCCACCATTTCTAATATTTCAGCTAGAAAATTTACATTTTTATTACGAATAAAACACACGATATATCCAACGTCATAACTTTGGCGTAAATCGCACAAATATAATCTAAAAGTTTATTATTGACTTGTTTACATTCAGTTTGATAGGAATAAGATAACTCTGAACGTGTAAATGCGACTCACTCAAGTAGGAGTTATTAGAGTGTTACTAAGTCAAAGTTAAATATACTATACTATAAATGTAAACTAACTAAATGATAAAAATATTTAACATTATCTCGAGCATTCCTATTTCTACGCATCATCTAATTGCTTTTGTCACACTTTGACATGTTGCAAGCAATTTCTCTAGAGAAATTTGTAAAATTTTCTAAGATTATCGGATAATACTCAATGATTCATACTGATCAACATTGATTCATAAATCTGATTATTTGATGATCATATATGCATTATGGAAAAGCAGAGACAGGTAAAATGGATGGGCCTCCGTTATTTTCCTTTTCTTCATAATGACATTAGATTATTGTGTAGCAGTAATTATACGTTAATTACATATATTTATTTACATGATATATTTTTCTTATTTCTATAATTAATTTATATATGTATGTATCATATATATTTAACATTTCTTTAAATAATTTTAAAAAATAAAGTTAATAGTGATATATTTCAGAATAAATTATAATGTATCTTTAAAGAATTGTTGCTTCTTCTTTTAGAAGAAGAAACATGATAAATTACGTCATTCAATCCTGGAACATCAAATACCAGATGCTCCTACGCTAGAAGAATTTGAGTGTCTGCTCGGAGAATCACCGACTAATTATCCCAAAGGTGAAGCTGTAGAAGATATAGAGAGTGAATTACATTCGGCTGCTATTGATACAGAAATTTATGAAAAGCAAGCTGCTGAAAGAGCAGCTTATGAAAAGAAATATAGTTGGCAAGATGAATCAACAAATAAGGTATTTGAATTATCAGTTTAAT